CCTGTCGCCTTCCTGCCATGGCGACGGAGGTTGGTCGCAGGGAGGAGGCGGCGGGAGGCGAAGGTCGGCGGGCAGGGGCAGAGCACGGGGGAGGGGGGGAGGGGGGAGAGGAGGGAGGGGAGGGGAGGGGAGCGGGGAGGAGGCGTAGGGGACGGGATTGGGAGAGAGGGAGAGAAGCGTAGGGCATGCAAGACATATAGTTGTGGTGTAGGTGACAAGATGAGTACCAGATGTGAAGGGGAAGGAAGAGAGCAGGACAGGAGAACATGCAGGATCCAGGGAGGGAGGCATCACGACGACACAGGGGAACGAAACCTTGTTGGCAGAGATGCGGGAATAGTTGACGAGGCGGGAGGAAGCCGAGGGCGAGAGGGGATGCTGGGGTAGAGAGGAGGGAGTCATGGTTGACGAGGCGTGAGTGAGGGCATGAGATGGGTCGGAGAGCTCAGCAGGCGAGGCGACAAGGCTTGAAAGTTTACAGCATGCACGCTGATGGGAGAGAAACGAAAGTAGGGCAGACACGCAGGAAAAAGAGCTCAGTGCATGTGTTACACCCCGAAGCTTTACGGGTTGCACACTAGCCAAGCGAATGCTCAATGAACCTCCGCTGGATCACACAGAAGGTGCTAGATAGTATTATCAAGCTTTATTGCAGCAACCACACCAACACAGGGAAATGCGTGGTACACAGAGGGAGGGAAGACAGACCCCCTAGAGATGAAGATCTTGATCCTTTTATAGCCCTGTGGGAGTCCCAGGGGTAGTGGTCCTCGCTTGCACGAGTCTTCCTGCCTCGTGCCGTCGCTATGGCCCCTTTGGTCCATGCGCTGCTCCTGTTCTTGTTTCTACCAGAAAGGAGAGCTCCACCGGTGCTTGATAGGGAAACCGTCCCGGAGGGGTCCGACTTCTGAACCAAAGTAGCCGTTAGAGAATCACTGTCTTTCGTCTGGATAGTTGTAGAGGCTATCCTTGTGTGCTGTCCACATTTCGAGTGTTGACCACTCCTGTGTTGGGCTCGCTAGCCTATGAGCTCTGATACGCTCTTTCTGCGCTTTCTTGGAGTGCTCAGGACTCAGAAAACTTCGCTTTCTTTGCTCTGATACGCTCCCGCAAACTCGCACCTAGACCAAAGTCAAAGAGCGGTCAAAGGCGGCGTGAACGCCGTCCCTGAGCAGAGGAAGGTACCGGACGTCGCTCACGCTGTTTGGCCCTGTCGTAGCGTTGAACCAAATTGCGAAGCGCTCGAGTGCGAACGAGATGTTCCACTGGTTCCCAGGTGTCATCAGCAGAGGAGAAACCTTTCCAGCGAACGAGATACTCCTTGCGTCCGCGCTGCGTTCGATCAGCGAGTAGGCGCTCCACTTCATAGAAGTCCGGGAGAGGCTGGGGAGGCGGAGCGGAGTCCAGCTGGGGCTGTCGTTGAATGTGAGGACGAAGAAACTTGGCGTTGAAGACGTCGATGGTCATCCTGGGGAAACGTTGCTGCACGTTGATTCTGTAGTTGTTGTTGGATAAGACTTCAGTGATCACAAAGGGTCCCAGAAACTTTTCACGAAACTTGCGCACTTCAAAGGTTTGATTGAAGAGTCGTGCATCCAGCCACACCTGATCACCAACGTGCCAGTTGAGAACTCTGCGCGTCTGAAGTAAAGCAGCTTCGGTGCGATTGGCCATTGCTGCGAGCTTGTCGCGCACGACATTCTCATTCACCTGGATGAGATCAAGTGTAGATTGCACCTCAGGAATCACCGGACTGAGCGTCAAGTCCATGGCGGAGCGAGGATTGCGACCGTACTCCACTTGAAAGGCCGAGAGACCCGTTTCCTTGCGAGGCGCATGGTTGAGGGCAAACTCGAGAAAAGGAAGATGAGAGCTCCAATCGTCACGAGCGGCGGTCAGGCGCGTCCTGAGCATGTCGAGGATGGTAGCGTTTGCGCGTTCCACCCGGCCATTGCTCTGAGGTGATACTTTGGATGAGTGGCGACCTGTACACCCAGAGTCTCAAACAACGCATCCCAGAAGCGGG